GGAGCCTTCATCCATACAGAAGGTCAAGGGACCACGTTCTGGGTAGAGAGGATGCCGGAATGAGTAAGATGTATCGTGGGAACAAATAGTCAAACAGCTTGAATTGAGTGCAAGGCTTTTTATAAGGGAATAATAGGGAATAGTTTAGAAAAAAATACGTTACAGCAAGACTGGGAAGGGCATTTCATCCTCTTGAAAGCTGAATATCCTAAGTCCCTCAGCAACTAAGAGGAAAGAGACTTAGACATGAGGACAGCAACAAGAATAACATATGCTTCTATCGCGTTTTGAAGTTGACAAAGCACTTTACTCAGGAAAGCCCGGTGAGATGGGTTAGTGTATCATCACCCCCATTTTGTAGAAGGTGAAACTGAGACCCAGCAACACCAAGGAGTGGTCTCACAAGTAATAAGTAGCAGAGCTGGGATCCAAATTCCAGTCTCCCAACTCAAAATCCAGAGTTCTTTCCGATACTCTAATCACTTCCTAAAGGGCCTATTCAAAAGCAGTCATAGGAAAAGCTTGTTTATTCTTGGTAAGTTTGTTGATCCATTTCCCCCTCCTCCACAATGGAATAATTTTGTGACCTCAGATAGAATTATACAGTCCCAAATGTAGAAGCAAAGATTGTCTGGCCCATAACCCTACCTCTAAGCAGAATTATAGCCAGAACATCTCAGTCATAAAAGAATCTAGCCTATATTTTAACCCATTGTCACTCAGAAAGTCAAGCTCCGAGGGAATGAGGCAAAGGACTGGTAAGTTTTGATTGGATCGGGATGGAAGGTAAGAGGTTGGGAGAATGGAGTACCTCCTAGGAGCAGGAAATGACATAGTAGGAGCCCTAGTCAACCAGGAGTGAGCATCAGTCATGATGATGATGATAGCTATGATGATAGCTAGTATTTACAGAGTGCTTTACAAATATTTCTTTTGATCATCACAACAACTCTGGGAAGTAGGTGCTATTATTATGTCTATTTTACAGATGAGGAAACTAAGGCAGACAGTGGTTAAGTGAATTGCTCATAGTCATTTTCCCCTTAATACCCAATTCATCCAACAATCTTTTTCTGTCCATAGCAGTCGTCACTGATATTCCTGTCCTCTGAAATCCCAGCACACTTAGCCTGCTACCATATGGTTTACCTATTAATTATATGTTATCTCCTCTTTCTGTATTTCTACAATAAGTGAGTCAGTCAAGATGGTACTTAGCTTCCTTTCAGCTCTAAAAATTCCATTTCTGTGATGATATTACTAATTATTATTTTATGGGTTCTATTTTCTCAAAGAAATTATAAGCTCCTGGAGGGCAAAAACCATCTTATATTTCATTTATATCTCCCACAGTGCCTCATTCATCACTGAGCACATTGTATTTTATTTTTTTATTTTTCTTTTTTTTTCACATTGTATTTTCAATAAACTATTGATTGACTCAGAGGAATCACCAGTTATCTACTTCAGTTAATCCAGCCATATCCTCTTTCAAATCGTGGCCCAGAACTCACTCATTTGAGGAATCTTTACTTTTGCTAATGTCATCTTATTCTGCTCTTTCATCCCCATATCCCCATAACATCCATGTATCCTATTTACCCTACTTAAAGTTGACTGGTTGACATGGTTGCCATGTTACTTTATTAGTGTTCTTGGACAAGAACCCATTTCACTTTCCTAATCTGGGTAGCCTCAGAATGTTGCCTGACTTATTACCTGCCTTCTAAATCTATAGGAATTGCAATGAAAACAAATGACCTACAAGCATTTTCAAAACTGTCAAATGCTACTAGGCAGTAACAGTGAGAGAAGGCTACACACGAGTCAATGTTTCATGCTGACTTGACTCAGGAAAGGAAAAGCTAAATGGGAACCAAGAAATGTATGTTCATAATGGTGTTTTTTTTCTTCCAAACAAAAACAGCATTTAAAAATTTTTTTGGATAAAGAAACAAACAAGCTTTTTTTTTTCCTCACCCAGGAATGAAGGGCAAGGGAAAACTCTTGGGACATGAGAGCCACTAAGCTGTGACCTGCCAGTAGATATAATACTCATTTATATCAATGACAAGCAATGAGTTTCTGGAGGCCACATTCTGAAAGAAAGAAACTTTGGTAGCTCACATAATGAGCCCTACATCCAAAGGGCCTCCCAGAAGGCTAAAATTCCTCCTTTTGTACATCTAAGTTAGGTGTCCCACTGAGATGTATATCAACTGCTGAAGGTACCGAATGCCCATGCTAACTCTGATCAATGTCTTTATAGGAAACCAAAGGACTCATCCCCAGAGAGACCACATTCTGACTTTGTATAACTGGCTGCCAAGTTAAGACCCAGCTGCTTTACAAAAAAAAAAAAGAAAAAACAAGAGGGAGAGTATTAATCAGACTCAGTGGTCAGTTTGTGTTGGTAGGAGATAGCAATTGGGAAGCTGATTTAGGATCATAGAATTTAGAGCTGGAAAGGGCCTTAGAGGTCAGCTGCCTCATCTTATTCATAAGGAAGCTAGACCACGGATAGGGGGAAAGAACTGCCAGAGGTCACACACAGAGAAAATAGCAAAGACAGAATTCAAACTCAGATAATCTAAGTGTTGATCCAGTTTGCTTTTTCCGCTGGGCACTGACAGTATTAGTGGCCCACAATGTGTGTAAGTGTCTCATGTGAAGCTGCAAGAAGCTGATGATTCTCCATTGAACCTGCTTTGGCCTGAGTTCGTTTATTATTTGTCTCAGGGTCATAGAAGCCTCTTATATACAGACAGAACTAGCCTCTGTTGGCTTCCTTCCTGGAGAATGCAATTTAATTTTCTCATTGAGGAGGTGGCTGAGGCCACTGACTACACTTCTTAGAGCTTTGTCAGAATGGCTCTACCTTCTCCAGAATGGCTGGACCTTCAAGATTCTTTTGGCTGAATTTCTGTGCTCCAGGCTTGGTGTTCAGCAAAGGTTCTTAACCTAGGGTATGTTAACTTGTTTGTTTTTTAATATTTCAATAACCATGCTCCAATATCATCAGTTTTCTTTGTAATCCTATGCATTTTATCTTGTGCATTTAAAAGCATTATTCTCAGAAAGGAGTCCATAGGCTTCATCAGACATGATACAAAAAAAAGGTTGAGAATCCATAGCATACAGGGATGACCGTATTACAATGCTGACTCAATCTTGTGTGTTTATAAGCAGTTAGGAGCTTTTGGATGATACAGCCATAATAAGGTGTCAATACTGGACCTGGATTTGTTTGTTTGTTTGTTTGTTTTTCTAAACTGGGAGTTGTGCAAATCACAATAATCCCAGAGCCCATCAGAAATCAGGCAACAGAAACAGAAATAGCATCAGTAGCCCCCCTCATAGTCAGGAAGACAAAGATGGAAGTCTTGCCTCTGATGCAGACTAATTGTGCCACCTGAGCAAATCACAGCAATTATCAGTGACCTTGTTGCAGAGAATTTCCTTGCCAGGTATTTTTTACTGAAATAAAATCACAATCCAAGAAGAGAAATGGTATCCATTTAGCATCTCCTTTTCATTTTTTTTTCATTGTAATATGGGCTTGTGCATACTAATGGAGAAACTTTTAGTATATATTGCCAGGTAAGTGTTTGTGTTCTCTGTAGCCCAGTTATGCCAGAAGTAATAGGCAGGGAGTAACTAGAGTAGGATGCTGGCAACTTTGGTAAATGAGGACCGGGAAATGTTTATGGGCTGATGAAAAACCTCTGCAAGCCAGAGATTGCATATAACTTTTCTCAAAGCTGGCCACGGACAGCACAATGAGAAGCCACAGGCCATGTGGGGTCAGCACTATTCCTGCTTTCACACTTGCGGTGATCTTCTAGGCCAAGTCATACTGGCCGATTAGTCAAATCTTTATAGTAAGTAGGAGAGCCTCTGAAAATCTCAAGTGGTAAACAGAGGGGCAGATGGGTGGTTCAGTGGATAGAGTGCTGGGCTTGGAGTCAAGAAGACTCACCTTTCTGAATTCAAATCTGGCCTTAGACACTTACAAGCTGTGGGACCCTGGGCAAATCACTTACCCTGTTTGCCTCAGTTTCCTCATCTGTAAAATGAGTTGGAGAAGGAAATGGCAAAACACCCCAATATCTCTGCCAAGAAAACTCCAAATAGGGTCACAAAGAGTCAGGACACAACTGAAAAATGACTGTAAAACTGAACATTAAAGAAACTGGGATGAAGCTGAGCTTCATCTTTACTGTTCCATTTTTGAAGTCAGATCAAGAGGGAAAAACAGGATGGTTTTTGTTCAGTTTTTCTTTCTAGTCCCTCATTTCACCTTAGCTGGCTTCCTCAAGCCACAGCTATTTGAAAGGAGGGGCATTGAGGCTCTCAGCTTGACTGGTCTTTCCAGATAACAAGACTCTCCTTCTCTTCATTTATTTCCCTCCTCAATGAACTAATGTATTTAGCAGGCTTCATTTCAGTTACATTATCCAGTACCAGGTAGTGATGATATTTATACATAAGACAGAGCCGCAGTTCTAGGCCACAATAAAAAAAATTGAAGAGATTTGGAGCCAACAACTTTTTACTTTGAAGCCAAAGAAAAAACAAGCACACATTTTTCTATCTTGCTGAGATCGGGGCTGGAGAGGTGAACAGGAAGGCCTGTCCTGATCTGGTAGTCAGCACTAGGTGCCCCTGTGTGCCCATCCCAGCCGTGAAATTGAATCTATTCATAGTCCTAGAAGAGGCACTTTAGTTGTATATTACTTAGCAAAATGGGAATGATTGTGATAATTATTCAGGTTTTTGAAGGTAAGAGTGAATGTTTGCTATTGTCATTTGCTTTAATTCAAATATTGCGAAAGGGTAGGATGGTGGGAGCAGGGAAGGTGATAGGGACCAGGCTTAGAAAGGAGACCCTCAGTTCAATTCTTGCCCAACAAGTTTTTATTCTTTAACAGACACTCAGCCCTGTGATGACAGGTTTGGGGAAAATTCAGGTTTCCTCTTCCTCCCTGATCTCTCCTTAGGTGGGAGATTGGCAAGTGGAGTCCATGCAGTTTAACCTGTGGAGTCGGCCTACAGACCCGAGATGTCTTCTGCTCCCACTTACTTTCCAGAGAGATGAACGAGACTGTGGTGCTGGCAGATGAACTCTGCCACAAGCCCAAGCCCCCCGTAGTGCAAGCTTGCAACCGCTTCAACTGCCCACCAGCCTGGTACCCTGCCGAGTGGCAACAGGTGAGAGCCACCACTTGTATTTGCTGTGGATGGGAGGGTGCTTGCTGCGCTCTCTTTCCTGCCTTGGTTTGAGTTAGGTGATTGCTGAATGCATCTAGGGAATATACTTATTAAACTCTCAAGTAAGAGTGTCCTACTTCTCTGATGGATGTGAATAGGAATGTTCAACATGGAAAAAGAAGACTTAGGGGAAACATGATAGCCACCTTCCCTTGTTTGAAGGGATGTCATGTGGAAGAAGTCTTAGACTCACTGTGCTTGTCCATAGGGAAATCACGAAGAGTAATGGATGGAAGTGGTAGGAAAGAAAATCTTCCTAACAAGTAGAACTATTTAGAAGTTGCCTTGGAGGTTTTCCTCCACCAGAATCTTCAGCCAAAGCCAAATTACCACATACAGTCTACAGGAGATGTGGGTTGTGCTATTGCACTACATGACCTCTGAAATTCTGTGATTCTGTGAAGCTGCGGCTGTCGGCCCTCCATTGGCAAAGCATTCATTTGATGTTTTTTTAGGCTTAGTGATGGATTAGTGTTGATCTAGTCATACTATTATGCCCGTCCCTCTTGGGACCAACACAATATATCAGACAGAGTCCATAGTATGACAAATAGGCAATTAATAGCAGAAATTACCAGAGGAAGCTGCAGAAAACCAAGGGTTCCACTTAGAGCAGGTGTAGAAGTTGAAATAGATGCAAGGATTGTGTGATATTTATGCTTCTTCCAGAGTCAATCAGTAATCGTGCTTATTATTTTAATACTTCCAGAATCTATGCTTTTGGTGGGGCAGGAACTCCCTCCACTAATGCAGATCTCAAGCCTTTAGTTGATGTTCCTCATGAATTGTCCACGAAGAACTTCATCATCCAGTGGCCAAGCTTCCAGGGCTGAAGCTCTTTAAATTTAGCTAGATTGACTCTTTGAAAATAACATTGCTAGTCTGCACTCAAGACTATTCCATTTTAGTAGAACCTCCCAGAGTTTGAGGTCCATTGGCATAACTTTTTTTTTGTATTTTGCAAGGCAATGGGGTTAAGTGACTTGCCCAGCATCACACAGCTAGTAAGTGTCAAGTGTCTGATTTGAACTCAGGTCTTCCTGACTCCAGGGCTGGTGCTCTATCCACTGTGCCACCTAGTTGCCCCTATTGGCATAACTTTTGAGAACCCAAGGTGATGTTCACACTTCACTGAAGCATCAAAGGAAGTGGGGAATCCAAACTCAAAAATTTTTATTCTGTAATTAGGGTACCCTCTCTTCTAATACGAGTTACAGACACTTTTTTGCCTGAAACAGTGACCTTAATGAGTGGCTGTGACTGAAAACACTCATCACCTAGTGGCAAAGATTAACATTTATTCAAGAATTATGTGTCATGACATTTTAATTAGTGTTCATGCTAGAAGAGAGAAGTGCAGAAAGGTTGGGAGATCATAAATTTAGAGCTGCAAGTCTGGCAGGTAGTGGACAGAGCACTGGGCCTGGAGTTAGGAAGACCTGAGTTCAAATTCAGCCTCAGACACTTACTGTGTGCCCTGGTCACTGTATGACCCTGGGCAAGTCACTTAACCCTGTTTGCCTCAGTTTCCTCATCTATAAAATGAGCTGGAGAAGGAAATGATAAACCACTCCAGTATCTGCCAAGAAAACTTCAAATGGGGTCACAAAGAGTTGGGCACAACTGAAACAACTGAACAACAACAAAAAATTCAAACTCTGTCATGATGCAGATGAGGAAAATGAGTCTGAAAAAGCTTAAGGGACTTATTCAAGGTCACATAAGTAGAGCCAGAATGAAAGCATCATCCTTTACTTTCCATTCTCCCTAATATCCAATCAATTTCTCAGCCTCCCTAATTCTAACTCCTCACCGTATCTCACACTATTCTTCATCTCTCCAATCACAGGACCAGAATCCTAGGGCTTGAGTCCTAGGCCCTTCTTGTTTGGACTATCACAATAATCTACTAATTAGTCTCCCTGGCTCCAATCTTTCCCCTCTTTAATCCCTCTCTTGCACAGCTGCTAAAGCACAGGTCTAGTCATGTAACTCACCTGCCCAAGAACCTTCATTGGCTCCCTCATTCCTCTGTGATTCAATACAAACATCTCTGTCTGCTCCTACCTTTTCAGGAATATAACGTTATTTTCCTCCGTACACATCAAAGTCTAGCTAATCTGGCATACTTGCTGTTCATCTGTCTCTTTTTTCCTTTACTTTGTTCCCCGCTCTTGGAATGTTCTCCCTCTTTACCTCTGTCTCTGGGAATCGCTGGATTTCTTCATACATCAGCCCAAATGACACCTCCTCCATGAAGCCTTTTTTGATTGCCCCAGTTGCTAATGCCTCCCATCATGCTATGTGGTTTCCCTCAATGGAATATAAGCTTCTTGAGGGCAAATACTTTTTCATTTTTATCTTTGTATTCCCAGGACCTAACACTTTGCTTGATGCATAGTAAGTTCTTAAGAAATTCTGAATGATTGATTGACTTGATTCAATTTTTATCAATGGAGCATGCATGGCTATGTGCATAGATATATAGATTTGTTTATTTACGAGGATGGGAGAGTTTCTCCTCCTCCTCCTTTTTACAGATGAGGAATCTAAGGCTCAGAGTTATTAGATGAATTTCCCAAAGTCACAAAGACATCAAATAACAAAGATCTCATGACTCTAAATCTAGTACCTTGTTGCCTATAGAGAACCTCCCAAACCTTATCAAATCTGAAAACTTTCACCATTAATTTATGTCAGAGCCAGGGGAACCCAGAAAATAATCTTTAGAGATTATGAAGCTTTGGATAGGAAACTAAAGGGCTTGGAGAGATGAATTTTTTTTAATCATGACTTCCAAATGAAGATGATTGTGTTCGAAAGATAGGAGCAATAAACAGCTGGATAAGAAGACAATGTAAAAGAATAGAGTTTGGCTTTCTGGACCAATCTGCAAAATTTAAGAATGGTGGTTTCTTAGCCAGAGATAGAGTACATACGCCAATGAATGATGTCTTTACCAGGAAATTTGCTGAACTGATCGATAGAACCTTAATAAAATGAAAATTCATGCAGATTAAGAAGAGTTCCTAGACACAATGACTAAACCAGATGCCATGGAGAGCTAATGATTCTGAGAGGCAGAGGTGAAGAGAGGGTACATTCCAGAAAGCATAACTCAAGAGAGAATAATAGTAATGGAAATGTCCAGGAATGCACAAGACAGAAACAGAAATTATTGAAAAAATGAACGTGAGATGTTGAGAGAAACTTAGGTTTCATGAAGCTTTGGTAGGATGGTATCCATAAGTTAAATATAGTAATGGAAGGACACATTTTGTTCAGGAGGAACTTAACAGGTGGGGGGGCAGTAGAATAACACCCTATGTCCAAATAGTTTTAGTCCCAAATTCCATGACACTTAAGGAAGGAAAGCCTGATGGAAAACATCTGTTAAGAGGAAGGGAATTAAAAATAGAAATTATTCTTACAGCATTCTTAAACATTGATTTTACTTTCAATTTATGGAATAAAACAAGCATTTCCATAACATAGTATAATTTTTTTTAAAAAAGGTGATTGTACACGAAACTGCAAATCTACTGTGTACAACTTGGTGTTCTTACAGCATTTTATTATGGATTTTATCAACAACTGGAAGATATTGATGGCAAATTTCTGATGGAAATCACCAAATTTCCAGGAGGCAGAATGTGTTCTTTTTTGGAGACTTCCATTCAACTTAACGAACATTTATTAATCCTCTATATGGGCATTTGTGTTAGGTCCTGGGGGATACAAAAACAGAAATGAGTACTTGGCCTGAAGGAGCTTATATTTTATCAGAAGAAACAATACATGTGTGTATATTTGTAAATTTGAGATATACTCCAATGAAATTCAAAGTAATTTTCGTAGAAGCAGGAGTACTGCATTTGAAGTAATTGGAAAGGGCATTCTATGTCAGGGTGGCCCTTGAGCTGAGTTTTGAAGGAACCTAGTGATGCCAAGGGGAAGAGGCAAAGAGGAAGCATACTCAAGTCCAAGACTAAACTCAGATGAGCCCCTGACACAGAAATTGAAGCCATTGTGTGTGAGGAACACAGGTAGACCAGTTTGGCTGGCATGTAAAATGCCTGAGGAGTAATACGTGTTAAGTCAGGACAGGTCGATTAGAGCTAGATTGTTAAGGGCTTTAAATACCAAATGGAGGGGGTTGTATTTGCTATTAGAAGCAATAGGGAGCTACTGAAGTTTCTTGAGCTGAGAAATGACACAGACTTGTAATTTGGGGCTATCACTTTGGGGGATGGATTGTCTGTAGGAGAGACTGAAGTCAAGGAGACCTTTTAGGAGACTATTACAGTAGTCCAGGTGAGAGGTGATGATCTGGGGTATCAGGTTTGTGATTGGAAAGGAGGATAGTGATGTGAGACATAGTATGGTTGAGACTTGGAAACTGGATATGAAGAGGAAAGGAGAGTGAAGCATGGAGAATGATGGAGTTTGTACTGGGGAAGTTAGAAGTGGCGGAGGGAGAACATGAGTTCTGCTTTTACTATGTTGAGTTTGAAATGTCTGTAGGAGTACCAGTTGAAAATGTCCAGTGGGCAGTTGGTGATGCAGGACTAGAGTGCAGGAAAGAGGCCAAAGCAAGTCATTTCAATCTGGGAGTCTTCTGGGTAGAATTGATAATTAAACACAAAGGACCTGCTGAGATCACAGGGAAAGAGGATGAAGAGAGACAGGAGAAAAGAACCCAGGACAGAGCCCTGGGATTAATGCAGAAATCAGATCATGTTAGCTTTTAGAGGTCATCAGAAACTCTTTCCAGAAGATTTGTTCAGCAATGTTAGCTTCCCCAGACCATTTGATTAAAAGACTAAAAGAAAACAAGCCATTATGTGATGTGTTTGGCAGAGTAAGTCAACAGTAACTGTGAAGCAATTCTCAGCTAATTGGCTCTTATCTCAGGACACTAGTGCCGTAGATTGGAGTGC